TCTGTTCGCTCGGCGGGAAGAGTGGAATGCCCCCTAGACAAGCGTCCGGTGCGCTCAGTTTTCCAACCTGTGTGTTAAGATCATCTGCCACCACTATAATATCAAAGCTGCGGCTCAACTGAATGAATCCGGTGAGTTTGTCCAAAAATTCGTCTACCTGTGAAGTGGGACTGCAGTTGGTTGGTGCATACGTGGAAACGATGAACAAACACCTTTTGGTGTTGCTGCCCTTCGGCACATTAACTGAACCCTGTAGCCACATTGCGCACAAACGACTAGTGGCGCGTATCCAATCTATTAGCGAGGCTTCAGCTTTATCGCTGAGTACGATGCCTACACCTCGCTAACCCAATGTGTGGGCTTCATCGTCTCCTGATGTACGAAGGAAACATCTCGAGGGTAAACCCAGCGTACTCAGGTGGGTTATAATACCATAGACATGAATTCGTGTCTACGATACGCAACAGGCCAATTTCTAAAACTTGGTTGTACACGCAAGACACGTATATTGATCTGTCTACATCAGATTCCTCACGTTGAGGACTCCCAGATTAAGAGGTTGACGAGGCTTCAAAATCTGCACTGTATTTAAGTGCTATTTGGCAACGACTTTTGGCGAGTGACGAGTTGTCTGAGGGAATGTTACGGGTCGCAAGGAGGGAGAAGGTTCTGTACGGACGACAAAGAGTTAAACAAAGTTTAGGATGTCTGAGCAGTAACCAACTTATCAAAACCCACCCCGCTCCATGCAATGAGCAGTGCGGTCCTGATTAGTCTCCGAGACGACCGATGCAGTATGAAATTATTCTGAGTTTGTGTTCATCGGAGCTTTACAGACGTGTACTGCCAGAGAGTCCAACCAATAAGCAGAAGAACGATTAGAGTTCTCCATAAAAGTCTTTAGTTCTGAAAAGAACTTAACGACAAGGCAGCGGTTAAGGTAGAATGGAGGCCCATTAATTTGGATCAATTACTCCCTTAACACTACCAACGATATCAACCTAGAGGAACAAACCATGGCTGCTCTAATCAACACCGACAATGACAATCCAACGACCAGCCGAATCGGACAAGAAAACCTCCCATATCATTTAGATCTGTCTCTACACGTATTTCCAATTTAACGGACAGCTATACCAACAACTACGAGGCAACCCGATGGGATCACCAGTTTCAGGACTCATCGCAGAAGCAGTTATGCAGATATGGGAGACCATTATTTCCTATCATCAACCCGAAATTGTGGGTCAAGCTAGTTAATGACATCTTT